AATTAAGGGTTTGTTTGGTGCAGCTTGTTAGAGCTTTTGTTTTTTTTTTTATATTGTTCATGAGTGATAAGTTTAAATTTTTATTGGAGGAAAAATTTAAAAGTTACTTTTAGATATAGTAAAAAATGAGTAAAAAAGAAGTTTATGAAAAGTTTAAATTTAAAATTTTTGATATTTTAATGTTTATACTCTTTTTAAAGTTAAAAAAATGTTTAAAAATGTAAGTTTTTAAAAAGAAAATTTAAATTTATAAAACATAAATAGTGTTAAAAAGCTGAAGCACTTGGGAAGCTGCACCAAACGAAGCCTAACTCTCATTTCTTCATCTTCTTCTTTCTCCTTATCCTTAGCATCATCATCTCAACGTTTATCTTCACCATCTCTTCCTCTTCATCATCTTATTTCCTTGTGGAGCCCAAATTTGGGTTTCGTGAGAAACCCAGTGAGGAACCCAACCTAGTGCTAGGTTCCTCGAAGAACCCAGGTTTTGGGTTTCACAAGGAACTCAGTTCGAGGTTCAACTAGGAAATAAAAATAAAATTAAAATCCGATACAATATTAAAATTAAAATTATCTTTTTTTATTTTATCAGTTAATCAATTAAAATCCGATACAATATTAAAAATAAAATTTACTTTAATGTTCCTATATAAATTAATGAAATAAAGTTAATGCAGCCTAAAGGACTAATAATACCTTTTCACAATCCCATTTAGAATTTTCTTTTTCAATTATGGAAATTAAAAAGTTGTTTATTACTGCATTTATGTTTATTTTATTCAGCGATGTTGCAAAGTGCCGTCGTATCGGTTCCGGAAACGCGACTAGAAAATGAGTCAAGAACACACAAGAACTTAACGCTGGTCGTTGTTCAGAATTCAGAGCTCTGCTCTTCGATTTGGCGGTTTCGATCCAGTCCATCCAAAGGTAAAAGGTCTTCAATGTTTGATTTGCCTCGTTTTGCCTTGATTTCTCTGTTATTATCTTAGCTAGATGCTGGATCCTTTAGAGATTATTAAAGGTTTCTTAGGGTTCATCATCTGCAAGTGGCTTAGATTGTTTTTGCATTTTTTGGATTTCCCGATTCGTAGTTTTCCGGCGAGATCGCGATCTTGTATTTTGTTGTCGTTGTTATTTCAGCCTGAGGAGGTCCTGTAGCTTTTATATTACCTGAAAAATAGAGTGGTATCAGAAACTTGATCGCATAGCGGAGTGGATATCGCGTTAGACTCCGGATCTAAAGGTCGTGGGTTCGAATCCCACTGCGATCGGTTTAAATTTGTTTCCTTCAAAATTTTCAGTGTGAAAGGCACTTTTTTTTTTTCAACATTTAGCATGAGCCAGAACAGTTCGTTCTGTCCTAGTGGACAGGGTCTTATACAGTTATGCTTGCCATCCTGGAATGGATGAACTAGAAATTTTGTTTATTTTAGCATTTTTGTTAGTTAGAGGAGTTAAGATCATTCATTTGCACAAGAATTTAGTATTATTACCTCATTCTAATGTAACATGAAATGTTGCGTGTTTGTAATTTCATGCACCTCTGGTTATTGTGTAATTTGTTTTTGGTGGTCGATATGGTCAAATCTATTAGATTTGGGATTCCCCATGTGACATAACTTGTGTAACATGTGTATGAAGTTGACAAAACGGGGTTCATTCAAAGTTCAAACCAAATCTTGATAAAAAGCATGGGACAATTTTCAAAGAAAAAGTTGACAAAAGGGATATATCAATATACTGTTCAATTAACAATGGTCTATCGTGTTTGGTAGTTGAAATGGTCAAATCTAGCAATGTTTGTGAGGAAATTTTTGTTGTTTATTATCTAGAGTTAAACTTGCATTGAAACACTTTTAGTTGATGAAGTGAGGAATGAAACTCTCAATGCTATGTCCTTGGAAAGTAAATGTCTCAATTAATACCATTATTCAATTTTCCATATTATGATAACATTCTATTAGTTTTTCCTAGAAAAAAAAGAAGCAAATATTTCATTTTTTTAACGAGTAGGTTATTTAGCTTTAGGTTGTAGAATAGAAAGTGTAATTTCAACACGCATACCCTTGGCAATTCATTTATACCATTCTTGGCCTTTTGGCTAGGATTTGTGCTAAGTATCATTTTGCTAGTTTTTCAAGAGTTAGCTACATATTGTTTTGGCCCAAAAAGAGTAAGAGTCAGTTACGGTTAGCAGGATTGGAAGAAAGAAAATATTTGTAGTCTTTAAGAAATGACTCTGGCTCTTGAGCAATACAGCATAGTTTGTTGCACAGTGATTACAATTCCAGTGGGATAGCACTTTGATTAAAATTTGGATAAAGAATGCATCTCTAGTTCACCTGCCTACTAGATGAATTTCCTGTCATCAATGTTATAAGAGTGGAGGATTCAAGGTGGCATGGGATACTTGTCTTCAATTGGACAACCTGCATTCTTTTGGTATTTTAGAGAATAACTTGTTATCATTGATGTCGCTAATTAGCTTGCAGCCGACGAATTCCTTGGGTAATAGCTTTTAAAATTACAAATATTAACAGGTTCAATCGGAGGTAGTAATATATGTAAATTCTCCGTGGGTTGTTACAGATGATTGATGATCAAGACCTGGGATTTTTTTTCTACTTTCTTGGCGTCTTCACTTTTTGCTCTGGTAATTGCATATTTGCATGCCATTAAGTGATGGCTGATCCAAAATATGAAGCAAACTGAAAGCCAAGGTCTTACTCAAATATTCAATGCAGGGATAATTTAGCTTTGTAAGCATGGTGGAAGTCCTCTTTTTTGTCTGCCTATTTCTTCAGTCATCAATTTTGTTTAGATTTGAAGGCTGAAGCATATGAACAAGGTTGAACTGAACTAGTGAGATAATATTCAGGAAATGTCCTAATGTCTATCATCCCATTTGAACTCCCCTTCCCCATGGCAATAATTGAGTTGTTGAATAAGATTTCCTGTTGACCACCGTCTTTTCTATTGTCCCTTGTGCTTTGGATTGTTATGGCCAATTGGTATACGTGGCAAAATCTCTTGTACCCACAGCCCTCTTCACCTGACCAAAATTTTCATTTTTTAGGCTAAGCTAGATGTTACAGTCAGCTCAATTAGGGTATAAAGTTTCTAACTTAGCTTAAATAATAAAGTAGTTTAATTAAGTTGTGCCTGAGTTGAAATTTGAGCATGCAGTAATTTGCAACGTTTCAGTGTCTCTGCAACCCTAATTTAACTGCTCTTTTTCTCTTTTTTGGGCATTGCTAATTTAACTAATCTAATAAGATTTAGATACTTTATTGGCTTAATAATTTTGGGCATTTTAAAAATAAATATTTGTAGTGAGTAAATTTTTTTGATACATTAAAAAATTAACTTTTTAACATTATAAAAATTTAAATATATAATCTTAATTTTAAATTAAAAATTTTAAATTAATGGGTACTATCTCGTCAAACTCATAATAGTTGTGAGTAAATAACAAAATAAAGAATTTGACATAAACTCTCATTTTTCATGCACTATCAAGTAAATAACAAAACAAAGAATTCAACATAACTCTCATTTTTCATGTACATAGCAAGTGCACGAATACAAATTCTACAATCAAAATCGGTCAACAAAATAAACGGTATACAGTAGGCATCAAAATCTAAAGATGCAAACGAGAGCCGTTGATTATGAAACAGACAACCCGAAAACCCGATAGTAGTGACGATAACCCGAGAAAAAGGAATCCGGCGAAACCCAACGCAATCGCAATAGCAGACTGCACGCAGAATGCGTTCGTCGCCGTACACGTAACCGTCCCGTTCAGTGTCCTGGCCAGCTCCGTTCCGGCTGAGCCCGTCGACAGCAAAAGGTAAGCGAACACCTACAAGAAAAGGTTTTCCGTTCAATTTTAAGTGCACAAGTCAGAGACGGAAAACGTAAACAGCAACGGTGAGTGTGATAGGGACCTGGTCGTGGCCAAAGTCGAACCAGACTTGGACGATTTCGGGGAAGAGAGTAACTCCCATGGAGATCTCCCAGACGGAGGCACCCATTTCGAAAAGGGAGTACAGAGCTACTATTGCGTTAGCAGCGAGAGAGAATCTGCAGTAATTTCAATTAAGGTGAGGAGGAACATGAAATTGAAAATTTGAAACTGCAATTAAGAGAGTGTTTAAGTTGAGACGTACCTGAACGCATCAAAATCGTACCAGTGAGGGGAACCGGAGCCGCTGGAGTTGGTGAGCATGAAAACAAAGGAGGCGAGGGAGAAGCAGAACGTGGCGAGTCGGAGTACGAGAATCAGCAAATTGAATCGCCTTATCTTCCGCAGTGCTACAGTGGAGTGGAAGTGAGCGTGAGGGTCAGGGATGCGGTGGTGGGGGGAAGGAGTTTCGCCGTTGCGGAGAGGGTGTGGAGAGCGCATTATGTAGGGGTCTGAATTGATGGGTAAAGGGAAAGAGAGAAAGTCATGAGAGAAATGGGTATAGTTGCAGAGGTAGGAGAAGGGAGGATGAGGGGAGAGGTGGAGTCACGGGAGATGGAGGAAGAGGGTTAAGAGGGTTGCATACTTTCATGAGATAAGAGGGAAAGTAAAGTTTTTGGCGAGACCCAAAAGAGAAATGAACGGAGGAGAGGAAGGAAATGAGAGGGAAAGAAGGTGTGAAATGGAGGTGGGGTTTGGAAGAAGGGAAGATGCTGTGTGCTATGTTGAGTAGTCTTTACCCTTTAATATTTGGTATTTCTGTGACGTTCTTTCTGATTGTGATACCTGCAATAAAATCTCATTTAAAATTATAAATTTATATCATAATATCATATTAAATAAATATAATAT